TAAAAGGAGCTGCTGTGCCATGAACTTCTAGAGATTCCTAGCCATCACTACACTCAAGGCCCAAAGGCCCTGCCCCCTACCCATAGGCTCCAATCAGGGAATAAAGTGATCCACTGGCTGTTCACCAGGATGCCATAAAATCGCCTAGACTAAGCTCACAGCAAAACAGCTAGAGGAAGGGGGGCACAACCAGATGGATTCTGCAACCCTTAAGCTCCCAGTACAGACCCAGATGCAGCCAGGATTCCCCACTTTTATTGGGTCTGGTAGAACACAGGCCAGTCTCTCATGTGGCCATGCTACACCACACGCTTAATCTTCCTCCTCGTCGTCCCCACCACCAGCACCACCCTGGCCCTTCTTGGCATTCTTCCTCTTGACACGGCCAGGCCGGCCACCCCCATAGGGTGAGCGCAATGAAAAGTCGATGTGTTTCTGGGAGTCCAGGCGCACGATGAAGGATGGGATGTTCACCACCTGCTTTCGGACGCTGGGGAGGGGGAAGAAATGAGGTGAGGACAGGACATGATATGTCCCCAGTCCATATCCCTGACCCCCTCAACCTCACAGGGCCAAAGGATACATTCACAAAACCCTACTGAGCAGCTTTGTGGTTCACATGGAGAACAAACCCCCACCCAATTGGCACATCCCCTTCCCCCAAACACTCCTACCCTCAGCTCCTCTGATCATTGGCCATGCTGCAGTCATGGAGATGGTGGTGAGGGGAGTAATCTACCACTTGAGAACAGATCTCAACCCTCCCATCTGCTCATTCATTGCGTGCCAATGCAATAATCCCAGAAGTGCAAGACTGGCTGGCTCTGGTGGAGCAGAGACCAGGTCTGGTCCTGCCCTACTGCAGAGAGCAATCCTCTGTGGGCAGGGCAGTCAGATGACCATTACCTGTGCCTTGACCCATGTGGGAATCGCAGTGGGACAGGATGGACCAGGCCCTTCGCAAGGTGTACGGCACTGCCGCAGTGAGCCTTGCTGAGCTCGCAGGGCGGGGGTCTAGCCGGCTTTCATGGGGCTGGCAAATCCAGGGACCCCAGTGCTCTGGAGGCTGACAGCTACCCCAGATCCCCATTTGTAATGCTATGCAAGACACCAAGAGTAAAGCTTTAGCAGGGCAGGGCAGGGAGGGGAGGGGAGGGGAAGCACTGGCTCTGCTTTGTCCTCAGACAGGGTTAAACACCCGACATGGGGGACAGTGACCCCTCTGTTAAGAGGCCCTGCATACAGCTCTAAAAACAGTTGAAGCCTCTGACAGCAAGCTTGTAATCCAACTGTGTCCCATATGGGGCACAGCCAGTTAGAGAACTTGGGCACCCTGGCTCCCAGCCATTCATGATCTAGCCCAGACCCTGCTGCCTTCCCAGAGCTGGGACAAAACCCAGGACAGAGGTCCCCCCACAAAACCTCCATTCTTTCACACCGGCCCCCCCCCTCTCTGAACAAGGACAGAACCCAAGAGTCTGCCTCTCTGACACAATCCCACTTCAACTATATTCCCCAGTCCCCAGCAGACCTACCGGATGTGCCTCTGACGGATGAGCACCCGGGCATGGTGGATGGATTTGGCCAGGCCCAGCTTGAAGACCTGGGTCTGGAGGCGCCGCTCCAGGAAGTCCTCAATCTTGAGGCCCAGGATGTAATCCAGCTTCATCTTGCCCTCATCCAGCACCCCAATACGTACCAGCCGTCTCAGTAGGGCATTACCTGGGAGGCAGAGAAGTCCATCAGAAACAGGTCCTTATGCCCCCTCTCCCTTCCCTCAGTGGCTGTCAACCTGCAGTTTGCAGACACTTGGGGTCTGCAGACCGATTAATTGGAAGCGCATGAATACCAACACTGACATTTCAAAGGGGTATGCACTCCACTCAAAATGCTTAGGAGTTTGCAAGTGGGGAAAAAAAACCCCCAAACACCACCACCACCACCACAACACTATTGCCCTATGCCAACCAGCCCTTCCAGCACGCCCAAGGCCCTGCTTACCTTCAAAGAGGCGCCTGGGATCTTTCTCATCCAGGGTAAGCAGCTCTCGGGCTGCTTTGCGGATCTTGGCTAGGGTGAACTTCACCCGCCACACTTCACGCTTGTTCCGCAGCCCATATTCACCTGCAGCAGAGAGGGTTCATTCACAGGGGGCTGTCCTAACCAGTCCAGAGCATAACAAAAAAGGGAACCTCTTTCCCAGTGTGGAAATGCAGCACCTCTGAAATGGGACACAAAGGGGCTGTGCCATCATGCAGTCAGCCCAAATTCTGCATCCAGTTCAGTCTCCTGCTACCCTCACTCTCAGCTAAAAGACTCATGGCTCCTGCCCATAGAAGAACACAGGGAGCATGTCTGCAACCATTTATTCCAGTTACTTGCATCTCAACTATAAGACACCACAGATGTTAGAAGAGGACCCCTTACTGACAAGCACCTGACTCAGCCACAATTCTAAGCTGAGCTACTGCCCAATCTCTGCAGCTCAGCATCCCCTTAACTTCCACTGCACTGACTGAAAAGGGACTGCACCTAACTGAACCACAAGCCCTTGGATGCATCACAAACACTGCCCTGGAGCCCCCATTGGCTGATGGGTACTTAACAGCCCTCTGCCATGAACTTACCAATGAGTTTCAGTTCCTGGTCAAGGCGGGACTTCTCAAAAGGCCGCCGAGGAGTGACATAGGTCTTCCGACATACCCAGCTCCTGGCAACGGGCATCCTGGTCTAGGGTGCGGACTCTGCACCTGGGGAATGGATCAGGTGGAACAATAAACGATCTGAAAGGATCAGGGGGGAGGGGAGGGGTGTTGAATTGCAGTCACACAGGGTGCTAAGTGGTGCTATGAACAATAAGACCCTCCACACATCATTCAAACCCAACAACTTATTTGCTAACAAGATGGCGATTCCCACCTCTAAGGCAGCACCATGCTATGCCCTTCTACCCCATCAGTGTCAACCTTTGTGCCCTCCTCTGCCAAGATGTCTGGCCCATGACTTGACATAGGGAGACTACAGTGGGCCAAGTGCACTGCATAACCTTGCTGCTTGTACCACAGCCTTATTTATAGCCAAGTGTTTAAGATGCAGAGCAGGGGCTTACACAACCCCTGGCCCAAGGAGGGTCATCTGGCACCAGAACAGCATGCCTGTCCATACCCAGCAGAACTTGAGCTCACTCCAGCTGGCCAGGAAGTAGGCCATCTCCCCTCAGTGCAAAGAGGGAGACCAGCAAGTATGGTTTCACACGTACCAACTTTTGGCAGCACCTGCTGAGCAGTCTAGGGCTCAGACCCTCCCACTGTATCACAAAGGGGCAGAACAACAATGCAAATGCAAGCATGTAGCTCAAGGAACTGGACAAATCCTTGGAGCAAAGGGGCATGGGTAGAAACTGAGCTCAGAGTGAGGAGTATGGCCTCTGAACCCAAGATTCAGACCCGAAATGCTGGAGGCTGCAAGTGAGAGGAATAGGGGGAAAAAAAAGCCCTGGCCATGCTATGTTCATTCCCCTTTCAGCACCTGCTCTCTGCTGCCATGTGACAGCAGACACACTGTGGATCTATGGGCTGACCCTGTCAATGGCAGTTCTTGTGTTCTTAATTCTTAAGCCACACAGGCTTGAAGCATGTAACAAGATGAAGCCAAGAGGCTCATGCTACTTCCCTGGGGTCAAACCCCAGGTGTCAAAGCCCCTCCACGTGGCACTTGGTGGTGGGACAAGACACTCCTCTGAAGGAAGAAGCGACCAAGCCAAGCTTCCACAAGCCAGTGGAGATGGACTGACCCTATCTCCAGTCCCAAGATCCTTAACCGCCCAGGACTCAGAGCTGGGCAAAGGATTCAGCATGCACAGACGCAGGGCAGGGTAGAGGGTGCCCCAAACCCTTGGGAAGGGCCAGCTTTGTGACGCACCAGCCTCAACATCAGCCCCAGCCCTCTGAGTGCAGCAGTACCCACGACCCCGATCTCGCGCTGCCCAGGCACAGACACGCGCCAGCAGCACCAACCGTGCATGCGCCGCTGGCTTCGCATGCGGCCCGCGCATGCGCAGAAAACGCCACCCCGCTCTTGCCCAGTTGCTCCCTCGCCTCGCTGCTCGCCCCCGCTAGTGGCCTCGCTCCACTCTTGGGAGCCCTCCCAGGTCCCCTCTCAGCAGCCACCGCGAGCGTCTTCCCGCCGACCCCCGGCCAGGCCACAGAACGGGGCCCGGGCCCTACGCTCACCTCTCACTAGCATCGAGGGCGCTGGCAAAAAGAAAGAGGGCGGGCTGCGGCGCGGCCTTATATAAGCCGAGGGAAAGCCCCGCCCCTCCGTGCTGGCCACTGGCCAATCCCGGAGCGCTCCCGGGCCATCGAGGAGGAGGGCTAGAGCGTCTTCCCGCTTCATGTGCGGAGCGGACGCAGGAGTCCGCCATGGGGGGAATTAACCTTTTCTTTGCCGGCGTTCTGCCGCCCAGGCCACGGCACTGGTGCTTTCCTCCTGCGGGGGCTGGGGGGCAGGGGCGGGGCAGTGGGAGTCTGCCACAGTCCCCGCCACTGCTCCAGTCTGAATCCGTGCTTCAACTCCTGCCCCTGTGCCAGGCCTTGGTTCTGCTCCAGCCCGAGCCCCTGTCCCAGCTGCGATCAGGCCTGGGCACTGCAGAGCTCCATGGTGAGCCACGTCTCGTGAAGTCTCTGCACAAGCAGAGGGGAAACTGGGGCAGGGTGACTTGACATTGGCACCCAGCTGCCCTGTGCCCCTTGCTAGGTTAGCTGCCTCTGTGCCATGTGCCTGGCATTGGGCTTGGCCCAATCCTGCCCCTATTGGAGCCTGGGGGAGTTTGGGCCTTGGTGGGAGGAGGCTCAGGCTTTGGCTGCCTGAGGGGCTGTTGGCATGAATCTGTCTGGCCCTGTCGGAGGCAGTGGAGCGGGAGGCAGCCAGCGGAAGGGCAGGACCGTGCCACAGACATGAGCAGCCATCAGGCTGGGCCCCTGGTTTAATTAACTGAGCCAGTTCGATTGGTGGTATGAGTCCATCGGGCACAGGACATGCATCTGTTCCCCGGTGTGGCGGTTTTAATTACAGGCTGACAGTGCAGTCACTCCCTCCTGCTCGGGGCTGATCCTGCCTGCGGTCTTGCTCGCTTTCCATCCTCACATGCTCTGTCTGTCCCAGTGCACCCACTGTATCAGTCTGTCTGTCTATTAAGCGGGGAGAGGGGGTTGGTGATCTCTTTTACTGGACTCACTGCGCCTAGATGCTTGTCTAATATCTCTCAACAAAGTGCCCTTCCTCAGATCTGGGCTATGTTGTGCATTTTGTGCTACTTTCTGGGCACTTTTTGCCTGAAAGATTATTCAACTGTACAGTCAATTCAGTAAAAGATACTATGAAAATAATCCTCCCTTGCTTCTCACCTATTTCCTGGCCGACCAGAGATCACCACTACAGCCATACTGCAAGCTTATCTGTCTATTAGACACTCCTCACCTTAAATTTGTTTAACTTTTGCAGCCTTTGTGTCCATCTTGGGGACTTTTTAAGTGGAAAGGAGCAGAGAGAAGAAGAGAGAAACATTGTTTTTATCAGGGGGGAAAAAACCCCAGGATGAGAAAGGGGAAGGGCAAAGGCAATTAAACAAGAACAGAGAGCAAAGACTGGGAAATGCAGGGACTGTGGTAATAACCCCTCCCTCACCCCACACTCCACTTTGACCTTCATGATTTTTGCACCTTCTACCATGACCCCAGGGGAGCTGAGATCAGGTTCTGGCCCCAACCCAGAGCAGTCAGGGTGATGCTAAGGACCCTGTCCTTAGCCTCCTCAGGCTGGCTCCTGCTCCCCTGTTGGCTGCAACCAGTGGCTGGTGGCCAAGGCTGTGCCCTGTGGAGCTGGCAGGGCCATAAATCTTCCTCTTCATTAGACGCTTTCATTCGGGAAGCTGTAAAGTGCCGAGATGCAGAAAATGCAGGATAAATTAAGCTGCTAATTTACTAGGTGGATTTCTTCCTAAACTACAGTTTGTGCGAGAATCTGCTTATGCCTGGATTCCCTCTGCTGTACCCTATCAGACCCCACTCCTCTCCCCGATATGGGACAGTATTTCCATTTGTTACGGGGTATCTGCATTTGGAGTTGTGTATGGGGATTTCTGTGTGTGTATTAGTGGCTGTGAGGGTATTTGTGTGCATTTTGGGTTGTGGCTGTGGGTATCTGTGTGTGTATATGTTTGGAGTTGTTTGTGTGTTTGGTGGTATCTGTGTTTGTCTTGGTGTCAGGTTTGTATTTGGAACAATCTGTGTATGTATTTTTGGGGTATAATGTGAGTGTGTTTGGGGCATCTGCCTGTGTTCAAGTGTATCTGTGTATTTGAGTGTATTGGGGGCGAGGTACCTCCAGGGAGGTACTTGGTGCTTGGTAGGTGGTGGTGCGCAGTGAGGTGGGTGGCTTAGATTGGTAGGTGGTGGTGCGCAGTGAGGTGGGTGAGTTAGAACAGGAGCCCCCCCTATTGGCCTGCCACAGGGGGTAGCTATGTGTATGTGTGTTGGGAGTTCCTGTCTGGGTGTGCTTGGTGGTGGTGTGTGGGGGCAATGTTTGGGGAATACATGTCAGTCTGTTTGGATGGTGGCTGTGTTTGGGGTTACCTGTTTGTTGGGGTATTTGGAGGCATTGTCATGAGTGATGGGGTGTGTGCATGTTTTATCTGTCTGTCTTGGGGGATGTAGTTGAGGGTACATGTCAGTTTATGAGGCTGTATCGTGTGAGCGTGTGTGTGTGTTTGCACACCCATCAGTAACTACATGACATCTCTCTTGGCAGGACATCTTCCTTTCCCAGACCCAGCCGGAACGTGACTCAGCTCCCAGAGCCCTCTCAGCTAAATTAATCCCGTGACAATGCTCCATCCCCGAGAGCCAGGATCAGCCTCAGAGCCTTGGTCCTGATCCCTCCTATTGTGGGGACACTGTCATTCCTAGCTTTACCTATGCCAGACAAAGGGGAGTACCAGGAGAACAGAGAGGCCAGCCAGGTTCCCAGCCTGTCCTTTAGCACCAGTTTGGGAGTCCTGGACTACCCCACAAGTACAGGTGTGGGTGGCATGGTCCAGGACAAAGGCACATAGCCATTGGTGAAGGAGCAGCCTTAGCTCAGGCTGGGGAGGGTTGATGGGGGCAGAAGGAAAAGGGTAGGGGAAGAAGCTGCTGCCTCTACCCAGCCCTTGGTGTCTATGACTGTTTTCTCATGTCTAACACAATGTGCCACTTCTGCAGGGTGGCAACCAACTCTGGTTTGTACTTTCTTTCCCTTGCCTGCCTGCTGAGGCTGGGTGTATGTGTTTGTGTGTGCATGCATGCGTGCATGCTTGTGCTTGTGCACGTATATGGGAGTACACATGCACACCCCATATGTTTGCATTTGTGGGTATACAACATGCATATACAGCATGCAGGTATATAGCACAGTTGTCTGTTTTTTTGTATGTATGTACAGCATGCATATATATGCATATATATTTTTGCGTACTTATGTACAGAATTTATGTATGCATATGCACAGCATGTGTGTCTGGGCATTTGGGTGTGAGTGTGTCCATATACGACCTATCTGCCTTTGTGTATCTGTGTGTGAACAGCATGTCTACCTTTGTATATTTGCATATACAGCTTGTGTACATACATATGTGTACGTACATATGTGTGACTGCCTATAAGTTCATCACGGGGGCACAGAAGGGAATTGGTGAGGTTTTATTCACTGAGGCGCCCCCAGGGGTTACAAGAAATAATGGCCACAAGCTAGCAGAGAGCAGATTTAGACTAGACATTAGGAAGAACTTCTTCACAGTTAGAGTGGCCAAAGTCTGGAACGGGCTCCCAAGGGAGGTGGTGCTCTTCCGTACCCTGGGGGTCTTCAAGAGGAGGTTAGATAGGCATCTAGCTGGGGTCATCTGAACCCAGCCCTCTTTCCTGCCTATGCAGGGGGTCGGACTCGATCTATTGAGGTCCCTTCTGACCCTAGCATCTATGAATCTATGAATCTATATAGATGTTTCTCTGTGTGTATTTGTGCAATATGTGTGTGTATTTGTTCATATATTCAGCATATGTCTGTATTTGTATATTTGTGCATGTGCAGAATATGCATCTATTTGCACATACAGCCAGGCAGCATGTTTTTGCATGTTTATACACTTTGGATGCATGTATATATACAGCATGTGTGCCTGTATATATGTATGCATGTTTCATCTTGGGTGTATTTGTATGTGTATTTGTGTGTGTAAACAATGTGTGCATATCAGTGTATATAACGTGTTTGCATGTGTACAGTAGATTGTATGTGTGTGTACAAACTGCATGTGTAGATGTGTTTCAAGATCACATGTATGTTTGTAAGGATCTAGCTTACAGGTATGTTTACATAGGTGTTTGCATATACATGTGAACATATGGTTGTACATGTGTTTGCATGTAGGTGTCTCTGGGTATTTGGATGTCCACAGTCCATGTGATGTATGTGTGAGATGTGAGAGGTTGTGTGATGGGTGCTTGTAGTGTGATGATGTATGTGTCCATGTGTGGGAAATACTCTGCATGTTATTACTCCATGTCTGTGTAACACTGTGTATATGACACTGTGTGCTTATGTGCATGTGACACTGCATGCAGTAATGGACTTAGGTTGTATAATCTTTGGGACCATTGCTTTATCATATTTGTGTCCAGCACCTGATACAATGGGATCTCTATGATCAACTCTAATATCTACACCACGTGTGATTCTGGATGCTTGTGTGTGTGTGGATGGGGTCACTATATACATACCTGTCACTGTGTATTTGACACTGTTGGGGTGTGTATGTGGATGGCATCATGTGGGAGACATCATCAGGATGTATGTGCATGACACCGTGCAAGATTAGTTTGTATGTACATCTGCTGTATTTATGTGGGACAGCCTGTGTGTTATTCTGTCAGGGTGTGGCGCTGTGTCTGAGATGCTGTGTGTGTACACAACACTGTGAGTGCCACTACGTGATGTCACTGTGTCAATGTGACATTGTGTGTGCAACAGTGCCAGTGTGTGTGTGTGAGAGAGAGAGAGAGAGAGAGAGGGAGGTAGACATTGTGTATGATGGTGTCAGTGTGTCTGAAATTGTATGTGATACTATCAACTTGTTTGTGTGTGTGTGTGAGGCATTCTGCATGTCAGTGCTGCTGGTGCTGTCAGTGAGTGTGTGATGTCAGCATGTCTGTGTGACACTGTATGCACAACACCGCCTGCATGTGTATGAGACAGCCCAAGTGAGAGGCACTGTGTGTGATGCTGTCAGTGTGTGCGAGACATTGTGTGTGGCACTCTCAAGGTGTGTGAATGCTGCTGGTGTGTGTGTGTGTGTGTGTGAGACATCGTATGTGTGACACTGTCAGGCTGCATATGAGATACTGTGTGTGTGTGCATATGTGTGAGAGAGAGAGAGTGAGAGACACCCTGTTCGTTTCTGTGTATAAAGCATCTCACTTGCCCCCACACACCCCCGGTCTCTGCCTGGGGAACCCCCCTCTCCCCAGAACCTCCCTGCCCAACCCCGCAGTATGTT